TTATCTCCCACCGTTCAATGCAAAAAGAAGCTTCTCTGATTATGGCTGTCTATGTGGATAAACATAAATATTCTGAGATGAGTTCGGTGCTATGCAGATTTAAACAGTACTACTATGTTCACTCCTAGGGCTCAGGGCCTCCCCATCAATGGGTTTTTAAAAACAGGATTTAAAGTACCAAGCATGATTTTTTTCTGTAGAATTGGTCTCAAATCCAGTCTAAGAGCTGGTGGTCATCTCCACAACAGTTGCACCAATATTGCACTAGTAGGCACATCTTGCCTGACAAAATAAACATAATTTCCTAAGGTTCACAGTGAAGACCACCATTCCCCTAGTCAGCCTGCATGATCACTCCTGGCACTGTAAAAGTTAGAAGGATGTTTACAGCTCCATTCTAGCTTGATTTGTCTATACCTAGTAGTCAAGGTGTGTAGTGTCATCAGCAATAGGTAGGGTCTATTAACTAGCTATGTGGGCAACCAAGAGAAATGGCAAGAGCTTGTGTTGTTTTCAGGGCCAACAACTCATAAGGAGGTATCTCACACATGGCACTGGGATTTTTGTTTAACCAGTTATGGAACTACCTAAACTGGAAGATGGAAAGAAACAAAGGAACAAAATAGGAAGAGCAACTTTTATCACTCTCTTGAGCTAAGGAGTACTTCTCCCAGGCACAGTGAAAAACTCCATAATACTAAGCTCTACGATTCAGTGCCCACAAACATATTTACTCAGCAGTGGAGACAAAAAGTTCTTGACTAAAAACCAATAAAGTTTACAAGCAAGCCTCAGAAGTATAACACAAAATCAAATTGATTAAAAATACCCTAGAAAAAACTTTTAAAAATTAAATACATTGAAAAAATTCTTCATTCACCAATAAAATGACATGATGACTGATATCCAATAAAAATTATGAGACATTAAAGAGAGCCTAAAATACATCCTACAATGAGGATAAAAATGAACCATTTAAAACACACAAAAGAAAACAATGAGATAACTATTAAGTATAAACATTAAAGCATATAACTATTCTGTGTTTTCCAAAAAGATAAAGAAGCATTTGAACATGATATGATATATAGAAGACTAAAAGTAAAATTTAAAAATTTCTGAGATGAAAAATACCCTAAATATGATTAACACTAGATTACACTTTGCAGCAGACAGATTAGCAAATTTGAAGACAGCAAAAGAAAAATCCTTACTGAAATACAGATAAAGATGGGCAAAAAATTTCTGAAGTATTTAAGACAACTTAAAACAGCCTAATACAGAGTTCAATGTGAGAACAGAAAAATGTTGAATCACAGAAACTATATGATGACAAATTTATAAATCTACAAATCTCAAAAGCTCGATGAATCTCAAACACATGAAATATGAAGAGAAATACACCAAGACATATCTTTAACTGCTTAAAACCAGTGGTAAATGGGAAAAAACTTAAAAGCAGCCCTCTAGAGATCACATTACACACAGAGGCACATTACTTCCAAAGGAACAAAGATAAGCAGGGCAGTGCATTTTTCATGGAGAACAATGCAAGCTACAAGACTGAGGAACAGCATATTTAAAGAGTCAAGAGAAATAAAATTCAACCTATACCTATGCAAATTATCTTTCAATATGAGTGTGAAATAAAATTATCTGCAGACAAATATATCAGCTATCATTCAGTCAGTCAAGAAATATCAAGGAGGACTCATTCAGATATGAGCTCTTGAAATGTCAAATGAGATAGCTGTAAATAACCAATTCCATGAAAACATTAAAAGATAAACAAATAACCCTTCCAACACAGATCTGTCAGAAATAACTTCATCAGAATAGTGGAAATCAGTAAACCTGCCATGGCCCTCACCTGCCCTGATGGTTCACTTCATTCCCCGTCTCAATTTGCCTTTATGCTTTTATGTGAAATATATTCATTTCATTCATTACCCTTTCTTCCTCCCTTAAAGATCTTTTCACTCTCTCTCATGATGCAAACTCCTGTGTTTGCATTACACACACACACACACACACACACACACACACACACACACACACAGTGGTTGGGATTTTCTTTGATCCACCAGCCAGCTCACAAATAAGACATACGGAGGCTTTTATTAATTATGAATGCTCAGTCTTAGCTTAGGCTTATCCCACTAGCTGTTTTACCTTAATTTAACCTGTTTCTATTCATGTAAACTTTGCCTTGGGGATTTTTACCTTTCTTTCATTCTGTATGTCCTACTTTCCTGCTTCCTCCGTGTCTGTCTATCTGTCTGGTCCCTGGTGTTTCCCTGGCAATACTTTTTCTGTCTTCCGCCAAGCCTAAATTCCTCCTCCAATTTACTCTCCCTGCCCTGAAAGTCCTCCTCCTTTGCTATTGGCATTTCAGAACTTTATTACATCAATCAGGTGCCTTAGGCAGGCAAGGTAAAACAAAAGTACATCTTTACATAATTAAACAAATTCAACACATCTTTACATAGTCAAAGAAATATTCTTCTACATAAATACATGCAACTCATCTTTACAAAGTTGAACAAATGCAATTCATCTTTGCATAAACAAATATTACACAAAACTCATACACACTGTGTATACTGTACCACATTTTCTTTCTGCATTCATCTGTTTATGAACATCTACATTGGTTCCATTTGCTGTCTATTGGGAATAGAGCATTAATAAACAGATATGCAGATATTTCTACTTTAAGCTGACTTAGAGTTTTTGGGTACACATCCAAGAATATAGCTTGGGTCATATGGTAGTTCTATTTTTAATTTTTAAGAAATGTCCATACTTATTATTTACATAATGGCTGTTTATATTCTCACAAGCAACATCTAAGGACTCTTCCTTGCTCTATTCTCATCAGCATTTGTTACCAACTAATAACCATTCTTACTGGAATGAGATTGAATCTCAATGAAGTTTTTTATGTGTTTGTTTGTTTTGAGAGAAGGTTTCGCTGTGTTGACCTAGCTGTCCTGGATCGCAATCTGTGGACCAGGCTGACCTTAAACTCAGAAATCTACCTGCCTCTGCCTCTTGAGTTTTGAGATTAAAGGCATGTGCCACTACTGCCCAGCTCCTAATGATGCTTAAATTTTCATTTCCTTGATGGTTGAAGATGTTGAATATTTTTAAAATATGGATTGTTCTTCTTTGGAGAACTATCCATTCAGTTAATTGACCTATTTAATGATAAAATGATCTACTTTCTTTGGTGTTTGATTTTAACCGTTCTTTACATATTCCAGACAATAATCCTACCTGATATGTAGTTGGCAAAAATCCTTTCCTATTCTGTGAGCTGTCTTTTCACTTTGGGAATTATATTTTTGGCTATGGAGCAATTTTTAATTTCATGTAGTACCATATGTCAATTCTTGGGCTTATTTCCCATGCTGTTGGCATCATTTCCAGAAAAGCCTTGCCTATTTCTATATCTTCAAGTGTTTTACCCATTTTCTTCTAACAGTTTCAAGTTTCATGTCTTATATTAGGGTATTCTGTCCATTATTTCTTTGTTGTTCTTACCCCAACATCCCATCTTATTTGGGGTTATGTTTTCATTTTTACTACTTCAACTTTGAGCCATTTTGTAACATTTTATACTGTGTTTTAATTATTTTAGTGGTTATTCTAAGAGCAGTGCTTCCCAACCTTCCTAATGCTCCAACCCTTTAATACAGGTCCTCATGTGGTGACCCATCCATAAAATTATTTCTGTTGCTACTTCATAACTGTAATTTTGCTACTGTTATGAGTCATAAATATCTGTGTTTTCTGATGGTCTTAACAACCTCTGTGATAGGATCATTAGGCCCCAAATGTGTCATAACCCTCAGGTTGACAACCACTGTTCTAGATCAATGGTTCTCAGACATGAGTAATTTTGCTGCCCCATAGGACATTTGGGAATGTCTACAGGTACTTTTTATACTCTTAAGAGGAGGTAATACTGGCATCTACTAGAAAGAGGTTAGGGATACTTGTAACTATAAAAAGAACAGACATTAAGGACAAAATTATCTTCTACCACAGTCAACAGGAATAATGTTGAGAAACCTTGTAAGCAGAGGTTTTTGTCCTCCCCAGTTTCACAGCTATTAAGTCTCAAAGAAACACACAGACGCTTATATTAATTATATACTGTTTGGCCTACTGCTCTTACAACTTAAATTAATCCATAATTCTTATTTATATTTAGTCATGTTGCTTGGTACCTTTTCTCAGTGAGGCATACTCATCTTGCTTCCTCTGTGCCTGGCTGGTGACTGACTCTCTGCCTTTCCTCTTCCCAGAATTCTCCTATTCTGGCTGCCCAGCCTATACTTCCTGCCTGGCTACTGGCCAATCAAAGTTTTATTAAACTAATAGGAGTGACAAATCTTTACAGTGTACAAGAGCATTATCCCACAGCAAAACCTTGCTGTAGAAATTCTGACTCTTAACTTCAGTTCATCTTAAATTCATACCTCACCATTTTTTAAAATTTATTAGATTTTTTAAACAATACCTTACCACTTTATAAATAAAAATTACTAAGTGTGTGAGAGGGAAGCAGGGACAGGAAAATCTCCACAAGCTTGCAGATCACCTAGCTTGTCTTAAGCAATCATAAACACCAAAGAGAACCTGTCTCATATAAGGTAGAAGGTATGGAATAATCCAAGATTGTCCACTGATGTGTATTTACATGCATTCACACATATGAGCATGAACAAATGTTAGAGACACATACTTAGAAACACAGTAAACACATGCATACACACATAAATATAAAAAGCATTTAAATACAATAGCATAAAAACATAAAGTATCTGAAAACAATTTTATAAAAGTGTTCTGAAAATTATGTTTGTGGGAAGTGGTTATTAAAGACAATTAAGTCAGTGGAGACATACATTGGTCATGGGAAGAAAAACTTGATATTGTTATAAATTTCTAATATCAGTGAACTAGAATCATACATTGGATTCAATCCATTCAACACAAAACATTTTTATTGACATACAATTATTCCAATATGTGGTATACTGTAACATGTATACAATATACAGTAACTAAAGGAAGAAAAGTAACATTTCTGCCTGTAGACCTCCAGTGTCAACTCTGTTATTTTGTACTAAGTAGAGTAGTTTGTAAACTAGTCACACTACTGAGCTAGAAAATAGGGCTCTTTATATTTTTTCCACTTACAATCTTTTTCATATAAACCTGAGGTTTATATGTAGATATATAAAATAGATAAACGAATCAAACACTTACTGACCATAATTCATAATTTATTTTAAAACAATTCTTTGCTATGCATATAATTTTACAATTTTTACATGTGAAAGGAAATTTGCAACTGATGAGATGTTTGAACACAAAGAATTTAATATTGTCTGAATATTTAATATTTAGAATGTAGATATTCAGTACTCTTTAGAGTAGGTTGGTATTTTGATTAATGCAGAGAATATCACTTTATTGCATATGTACTGCAAAGTCATGAGAAATATGTTTAAAGCCATTTCAGAAATTGTTGGAAGTTCTGCACTAACTCCAAGCCAAGATTTAATATTTTATATTTTAGGATGCTCAAGTAAACAAACCAAATAACTTTTTTAAATTAAACATTTTGATGAATACAACCCCAAGATATGCTAACACGATACTTAGATGCTGAAGAATGATGGTAGGGAAATAATGAAAGTCTTTGTATTCTATAACAGCCTCTAATAGCTGTTATTCTGTATTCTATAACTAAGCCTCTAATGGCTGCTATTCTACTCTCCCTCTTCCACATATGAATGAGAAAAGCAAAGTATTTTGTTTTTCTTTGAATGACTTAATGTCTTCCATATATGTTGCCACAAATAACAGAAATTTATTATTTCCATGTTATTAATATTTTATTGCATATGTGGTAACTTGAATGGACATGGCCCCTACGAGCTCATACATTGCAATATTTGGTCCCAGGATGGTGGAAATGTTTGGACAGGATTGTTGGAAGAGGTATGTCACTCAGGGAGAGCTTTGAGGTTTCCAGAGACTTGCACCATTCCCAGTGTGCCTCCTTTCTGCCTCCTATTTGAGGAGCAAGATGTGAGCTCTCAACTGTTCTTGTCTCCATGCCTCTGTTCTGTCATGGATGCTAACCCTCTGCAGCTATAAGCCAAATTTAATGCTGAATTTTAAAGATCCTTTTATTATCATTTTGTGTGTATGAGTGCTTCACCTGCATGGATGTTTCTGCATCACATGTGTGATTGTTGTCCAAGGTGGCCAGAAGGCATCAGATTTCCTGGAACTAGAGTTACAGATGGTTGTGAACCACTGTGGAAGTGCTGGGAATTGAACCCAGGGCTTGTGGAAGAGCAGCCAGTGCTTCTAAACACTTAGCTACTTCTCTAGCCTAAAAGCTTCCTTTAAAAGTTCCCTTAGTCATGGTGTTATGGTGTTTTATCACAGCATTAGGAAAGAAATGAGATAGCATATTTTGGCATATAAAATTTTTATGGGGAGCACATGTGTGCTACAATTTGTGTAGAGACAACTTGTGGGGGTCACTTCTTTTGTCATGGGTCCTAGGAATTAAAGTCAAGTACAGCAAGTGCTTTATCCATTGAGCCATCTCATCAGCTTTTACTATATTTTCCTTATCCATCAATTAGCATATACCTCACTTGATCTCATCTCTTAGATCTTGTGAACTATAATGAACACTGCACTCTTTACCACATTTTAAATTGATATGTAAATATTCATTGATATGTAAAGATTTTACATCTTTATTTTTAAATAAAGTATTATAATTATTTTAATTCATTTGCTTTTGATTCATCCTAAAATTGATTGCTTTATGCATTGTGCTCATAATATTAGAGCATTCTGGATTTGATATTCACTCCTATCAGAGTTTTTTATACCTTCCAATGTTTTCTTCTTACCCATTAGTATCTCTCAGTTTGAAGCTTTTGTAGAACAGGTGTGGTGGGCATACTTTTTCAGTTTTTGTTTGAAAATGTCTTATCTCTTCTTCATTTCCAAAAGATAGCTTTGGTGACTATTCTTGTTTCTAATGTTTTTCATCAAGCATTGTGAAAACCTGACTTACCCCAATTGCTTATAAAGTTTCTCTAGGAATTCTGTTGTCAGGTGAGTGAAGACACTTTTATAGAACTGGGCAGATGAGAAGTGCTTGTCCTGCAAGCTTGATAACCTCGACCAGGACCCCTAGAATCTAAGGGTGCAGTAGCACAGGTATCTCCCTAAAAGAATATGAGAGGCAGAGACAGGACAACCTGAAGTGCACAGACCACCTAGCCTAACTAATGCTGTGGCAAAGAGACCCTGTCTGAAACAAGAGGGAAAGATAAGGCCCAACACTGGAAGGTTATCCTTTTGCCACTCCATGAGTGCCGTGACACATAGGTTTACACATCCAAAAAGATGCCTCTATGTAGATATTATAAATCTGTATGTTGTGGACACTCGAATCGGCATATTTATTTACTATACACACGCATCCAAAATGTGTCTATAAATCTTTCTTTAAACTGTTTATCTCAGGTATTTGTTGTTATGGAAACAAAAGGCTTGCCTTAATGCAGTTGCTCTCCCTTCTCAGTAGTTTGTTTTCATGGTAACAGTTATCAGCAGTCAACAAGGTCCAAAAATATGAGATGGAAAAGCCTGGAAATACAAGACACATACATTTAAACGGTATCCTTTTCTGAATAGTGTGATGAACCCTCCTGACAGTCTACTCCAGCGATTCTCAACCTGTGGGTTGTGACCCCATTGGGGGTCCCATATCAGCTATCCTGCATATGAGATATTTGTATTCCGATTCATGACAATAGCAAAATTAGTTATGAAGTAGCAACAAAATAACTTTATGGTTGGGGGTCACCACAACATGAAGAATTGTTATTAAAGTGTTGCAGCATTAGGAAGGTTGAGAACCACTGCTCTACTCCATTCTGCCCGTATCACAGCAGGGATGTGGTCTGATCCTTTGTCCAGGGTGTCTGCATTACACCAACTATTCATTTACCTCAGCTAGCAGCTCCTCGCAGTACTCATGTTTAAGTAAGCCTTATCTTCTAAACTGGCTCCAGAGGGTACAAAGAGTGGTGCCAAAGAGGCACCAGCCCACAAAGTATGGAGGCACACATTAATTTTGGTACTATGTGGCAATGCTGCAGGGAATATAGGAGAAAAACAAAATCAAAATCTAGTAGACCAAACATTTGGTACTATTCAGTGACTCTTATTAAAATCAATATTGTATGTGAAGGATATTAGCTCTTGGAGCAACAAGTAGATTTCTTAGCTTTTTAATGGCAAAATTATATATACATATACAGATTTTTTTTTAAAAAAAAAGTTCTTACTTGTAGCATAGGCTGGCTTGGAACTCACTGCATAGCTCAGCTTAGTCTTTGTCAGCAAGCTTCCTATTGTTTGGTCCTGAGTGCATACACTACTCTACCTGGGTCAGATTTTTACATTTTCAATTTTAGGTAGTACTGGGGGTTGAATCTAGGGCCTCATGCATGCTAAACAAGTGTAATACTAATGAGTTGTATCTCCAGCTATAGAGGTTGTGGTAGTTTGAATGAGATTGGCCCCATAGGCTCATATGTTTGAATACTTGATCCCTAGTTGGTGAACCTATTAGGGAAGGATTAGAAAGTGTGGCCTTATTGGAAGATTGCTGCACTAGGAATAGGCTTTGAGGTTTCAAAAGACTCGCAGCATTCCCAGTGTGCCTCTTTGCTTCCTGTCTGCGAATCAGTATGTGAGCTTTCAGCTACTGTTTCAGTGCTATGCCTTCTGCTGTGGCCTGCTGCCATGCTTCCTGCCATAACGGAGATAGACTCCTCTCTGGAACTGTAAGACCCAAATAGATCCTTCCTTCTATAAATTACCTTGGCTATGGTGTCTATCACAGCAATAGAAAAGTAAGTAATAAAGAGATTTGGATTTAGTGGCTTCGGCTCACCTAATAGAAACAAAAGAGAAATAAAGTGACTTTGGGTTTTCTGTAGCAATCAGAGATCACACAATGCTTACACTAGTTAATGGAAATGATTGTCTTTGCAGATCTTTGTTTCATTAAAATTACTTTTATTTTTAAAAAAATCACACATTAAAATTCATTCTTTTGGTGTATAATTCTGAGTTTAACAAACACATACACATTTTTTAACTATAAACAACATAAAGTTCCCACTACTAAAAAAAATCCCTTGTGCCAACACTTGGTATCTCCTGGTTTTTCTGCCTTATTGCTTCACCTTTTCCAGAAAACACACAAATGAAATAAAACAGTAAGCAGCCATTTGAGTCTGGCTTCTTCTACTTAGCAAAATACATTTAAGATTTATCCAAGTTGTTGCATATATGGTTCCTTAGTTTTTATTGCTGAGTAGAATTTCGTCATCTGGATACACCAGTTTCTGTATCTCTGCACCAGTTGAAAGGTATCCTCGATTTTAGTTTTCTCCGTTTTTATGTGGTCTGTAGGTCTAGTAAGGAGGAGGTAAGGTTTTCCACCTAAGACGAAGGAGTCCCTTCTGGAAATCCTGGCTGAGAAGTACATCCCTGGGTAACTGTGCAAGAAGCTGCAACCAGGGTCCTTCACTTCTCATCCCTTAAACGCTATCAAAAATTGGAGCGTTAATCATGTGAGCAATATAGCAAATGAATAGAAGTTTGTCCTGAGTGAAGTCAGAAATCCTCAGAGTAGGTCTGACAAATGTTCTGGAAGCCAAGTTTTTTTTTAAGAATATTTAAAAATTATTTTAATTTAAAAAATATTGAAAAAGGTAAAAACCACTCCAAACCACAGCACAAGGTGAAGGTGTCTTTTCAGCGTGTACAGTCCCACTTCAGAAGGTTTACAGCTTGTTATACACATTCCTTATTTCTTTCCTACATTTATTTGGAAATTATCTCTACAAACTATACACATGAACTACTTGCTTAAAAATGTATCCTTACTATACATACATCTCATACATACATACATACATACATCTCAGTTTATAACTTAATATAAAAACTTGGATATAAGTACAAGTCACAATATATTCATAGATCGAGTCCACTGTTTTAATGGCTTCATAGTATCCCACTAAATGGATGCGCCATAAGTCATTCGTGTTGACAGATGGACATTTGGATAATGTCCGAGTTCCCATTTTTGTGAGTTTCACTGAGATTCATATGCCACAAAATTCACCCACTTGGTATATTCATCACTATACAAGTATTAATGAAATTTATGAACATTTTCATCTACTTGCAAAGAATTCCCATCCACCCTAGTTATCCCTACCTACCCTTTATCACTCTGTGTGTTTGTGTGCGCGTGCATGTGACCAATTCTGGATACTTCATCTACATCTACATCTACATGGATTGCTACAATTTTCCATCAGCAGTAACTGGCTTCTTTCACTGAACATATTCTCAGGGTTCTTCCATGTTGTAGTAGTGTATCTCAGAAGAGTTCCCTTAAAAAAAACCACAAAAACAGCTTGTGAAAAAATTGGACTACTGTTTCATTAAACATTTAGTAGAACGCAAATAAAATGCAATTTAACTCTGGACTTTCTTTGAGGGTATCTCTCTTATTAGTTATTATGCCTATTCTGACCTCCTTTATTTTGTTGTTGGCACTTCTCTTTCTAGAAATTTGTTCATTTTGGGTAGGACAACTTATCGACACACTAGTATAACACTATTCCATCATATACCTTCTATTTCCCAAAGGTCAGTAGCACTACCCCCTCCTTTCTCGTTCTAATAATTAGTCTACCTTTTCCTGTGATATCTAGCAAAAGGTTTGCCAGTTTCTTGCTTAGATTAATTGCCTTTTCTTAATTGCATTCTATTCTCTCATTTATCTTGCATGCTTTTTTGTTTGTTTTGGGTATAGTTTAATATTCTTTTCCTATGGCTTAAGATATAAACTGAATTACTGCTATATGATCTCTTTTCTCTTTAAATAGGCTTATCTCTAAACATGTCCTACATAGACAAAGTTGGCTATGAGCCACCTGATGTGGGTACTGAGACTCAAACGCAGGCCTCTAATAACAGCAGGCAAGCACTCTTACCACAGAGCCATTTCTCTAGCCCTCCTTTTGTGTTTCTTTATTGACCTACTTTCTACTTAAGTGTGCCTAATTTCCACATTTGAGAATTTCCCAATTTCTTGTTACTGATTTCTAACCTCTTTCCAGGTGGTCAGAGGACATGCTTTACATCACTTCGGTCTATCTGTATTTTTTAAGGCCTGTTTTGTGGTTTAGCTCATGATCTAGCCTGAAGACATTCATATGCAAGGGATAATGATCTATCTTCTAGTGTTGTAGGGTAGAATGTTCTATAGCTGCTTTTCAGATCTATTCAGCTCACAGTGCTGGAGTATTCTACCTCTTTGTTTAGCACTTGGGTAGCACTACTTTCAGTAGAAAGGAAACACTGAGTATTCCAGCTTTCCAGAGACTTGTCAGTTTCTCCATTCTTTACTTTCTGCCTTGTTTCATGTTATGTTCAGTCTCTGTTGTTATGAAAATATGTAATTAAAACTTTTACATCTTAAACCATTGACCGTTTTAACAAAAAATACAGATCTTTATCTCTAATAGGTATTTTTGTTCCCTTTTCCTCTGAATTTGGGGCACGCTAGCTACACAGACTATTTCTAAATGTTACAGGCTTAGCAATACATTAAAGTTATCACTTAAAACAATGATGGTAGTTTTCAAGATGCTGAATTGTTTACCGTTTTATAAAATTAGCCATTTTTACTCCTTTGTTTTATTTGTTCCTATAGATTTCTGCTATTTTTTAATAAAATAAGCATTATTTCTGATCTTCTTCGTCTGTTACTGGCAAATATATTGACTTTTTTGTTTTAGGAGATACAATGCAACTATATACAACTTAATACAACTTTTAAACACTAGTTAACAAAATCTTAGCACTTGGGAGGCAGAGGCAGGTAGACCTCTGGGTTTGAAGCCAGTCTGGTTTATACAGCAAGTTCCAGGACACAGAGAAATGCTGTCTCCAAAACCCAAAAATAAGTAAATAAATTAGTTAACGGATAAAGAAAAAAGTATTCAAGATTATCTTTTATAGTCACACAATCATGTCTGTCTTTTTTATGTATAGATTTAAATTTTTCTCTAAGGTTACTTGCTTTTCAGCTTGACAACGGTCCTCTTGCATGTCTTGTGTGATCTTCCGGCAACAAATTCTCCAGCTTTTAAAAATTATGTGGGAGGTATTTTACCTTTCACCTCCACCTCCACTGTTTCTGAGATCTTAACTATGTCACTTTTTCTTGGTTTTCATTTTTGAAACAGGATTTCACTTCGTTACACAGGCTGGTTTTCAATCAGGGCTCAACTGATCCCCCCGCCTCGGCTTCCTGAATAGCTGTAAATACAAGAATGCGCTACTTATCAGAAATACCCATGTCTGATAAGAAGTTAGTTGGTAATCTAGAGACCCATGACAAATAATATTTCAGTTTTCTTGGGTTATTTTCATGATTTCCTCTGTCTCTTGAATTTTCAGTATTTTATTATAATGTAACTGCATGGCTTTTAAAATGGTTATATCTATCTTTCTCACTCAATTTGAAATATTTGTAGCCGCTATTTCTGAAGTTTTTTTAAATATCTATGTGTAATTTTGTATATATGTATGTGGGAGCACACTTGTCATAGCGTAGTTCTGGAAATCAGAGATAACTTACTGGAACTGTCTCTCTCCTTCTCTCATGCAGGTCCTAGGGTTTGAACTCAGGGCTTCATGCTTGGTGGTGAATGCCTTTACCCATTAAGCCATGGTCCTCTTGCAGTATTTTTTTTGAGACAGGGTTTTTATGTGTAACAGTCCTGGCTGTCCTGCAACTCACTCTGTAGACCTCACAGAGATCCACCTGCCTCTGCCTCCCAAGTGCTGGGATTAAAGGCTTGCGGCACCACCATCTGGCTGTCTTGCAGTATTTATGCACCTTTCTCCCTTTTTAAATGGAATTCTTATTATATGTTATTTGATATGCTTAAATGGAGTTTCCTACATTTCCTCCATTTTTTTCTCTCCTTGGATAGTATAATCTCATTTAACCCTTACTCAGTGAGCTAAGGAGCACTATTACTCTACTGTATAGATGAGATCAATGAGGCTCAGATTAAGTAGCTTTTGAAATTAAGTTGGTAAACATGTGTGACTCTGAGGATCACAGGTCTGACTCCACAGCTGGTACTACCTCGTCTATACCATATTGTGTTTCTATTCTTCAACAACTAGAAACAAATCACTAGGGGATTTGAGGCAGGATGCCTTTCTTCTAAAGTATAGAACTTTCTTTCCTATCCCTTTAGTATTCTTTGCTAGTTTAGTCCCTCTTGAAAGTTCATATACCTAATGTTTAATATGTATTAGGCAGTTACTCCATGTTTAATGTCTATTGTTTTGAATTCAAAAAGTATCATGAGATTACCAATATTTTGGCTTAAAAGAAGCCAGTATTATATATATATATATATATATATATATATATATATATATATATATATGTGTGTGTGTGTGTGTGTGTGTGTGTGTGTGTGTGTGTGTATGTGTGTGTGTGCGTGTGTGTGTGTATACATATATATATATGTGTGTGTGTATATATATATATATCTTTTCGAGGACTCTGAAAACTTAGTGTAAGCAATCATTAAATATTAAATACGTTGATCAACTCATGAATCTACCTACTATAACTTTCAAAGTTCTGACAAAACACAATGAGTTCTAGTAAATAAATATTTTAACACTGAATTAGTTTCAAATCTTTGTATATAGGAAACAGTCTCAGAAAAAGTATTATCTCTAGGACTAAACATTGAAGACTGCAAAAAATATTAAAGAATTTTCAGAATCTTCAGGAACAATGATGTAAATTATCCTGAGAATTAAAGGTTTTCATATGATCTTAATGCTCAGGGTACTTTCTGCCCTATATAATGCATGATTATTATCTTTAATACTCAGGATAGTGTCAATTTTATATTGTCATTTTCTAGATTATACAGAACTTAATTATGGAAAATATTTCTAACAATTCTCTTTAAATGCAGAAAGCCACTGTTCTAATTACTGTCTTTCTAATATTTCTTCTTCATTTTTAAAACAAATTTCTAAGTATATATATATCCTGGATTTTAGATTATGATAAAAGAAAGATATGAGTGTGTGTTTATACACATACATATATCCAAATGTGTATGTATGTGTGCTGATATGTATTCTAGCTACCACTGATTTCTGCACTGCTATCTGTAGCAGATGTTAGAAGGGAAGCACCCTGGACAGCTGAATGCTGCTGTTTGTTCTTTCCAAACTCTATCACCAATATTTTCCCATGAAGTTTATATCCATTTATTTGATGCAATGCTTGCCATGCTATGTCTTTATCTGGAAAAAAATAAGAAAAATGCATCAAATTATATAGAGCTTAATCACTCAATTATTATTACAAATTTAATTCAGGTTGGTTTGCTATAAAATCATGATGCTAGATATTTTTTGTCATGCCTATAAGTCCCAATTTGTGTAAGTCAACAAGATTAAATTAATGGGTAATAATAATAATGACAAAAGACCTTCAAAATGTATATTTGATTCAAATATATAGAAGAAATAAAGATATATAGGGAGTGAACTGAAGAAATATAAGTTAAACATAATTGTAAACATGGCTCTATCTTAAAAAGATTATAGATATGCAAACAAATTTTTCAAAATTGTTATACAAATAAAAAGTTATTACATTGTTGAACATACTTAGTTACTTTTTTCTTTTAGAGGGAAAGTGGTTGTGGGACTCCTTATTGGGATAATGAACTTCTCTTGTTGATATACAGAAAATCTGTGTATGAGAATATATAATGCATAGCAGTAATATTTAACATATGGGTCTCAGATACTATATGAAAGAAATAAGGAGGGGTAGACTTTGGACAAGAGTCTGTGGAATTATAAGCAGACAATACTGACAATACACACAAGTTGTCAAGTGTGTACTATAGCTGTTAGGATTAGTAAAATAGCCACAAATTAAGAAGTGCAAAACTGGGACTGGGAACATGGCTCTGGTAGCAAAATGCTTGCCATGTAAGTGTGAGGACTTCAGTTTGGGTCCCTGGTACCCATATAAAGCTCCAGGTATGGAAGCATGTATCAGTAACCCGAAAACTCGGGAGGTAGTCCCTTGTAGCTCACTGGCCAGCCAGTCTAGCCATATCAATGAGCTTTCAGTTCAGTGAGAAAATTAAGGTGGAACAGCAACTGAGGAAGATCGTATAGGTTAGCTTCTGGCCTCTACATACATGCCTATACACAGCACAAGAACATATATACACACATACACTATACAAACATGTACACAAAATAATATAAAGCCTTTGTATTATGAATTTTTCAATTATTAGGTTATATATATTCTGTAAAAAATTCTTGAAATTTTAAAAAATTTAATAGGAATTCTCAATTCAAAAGATTAAAAACCATGCTACAAAGGATCTACAAACCTTCAATGAGACAGAAAAGATAGTACAAGGTTATATGAAAGCAACAGAAAGAAGATCAGTATTTTTAATGTGTAAAATCACTTGCCCACATAAAAATTAGCCGAGTGTCAAAATGTCAAGTTAGGGGCAATGAAAGGAATAGTTCCTATCTAGTGTCTTTCCATAAAAAACATACTGGCCAACTTATTATTGAAATCAAAACTACTGTATTATTCTTGCACTTGGATTAGAACACAAGCCATGCACTAACATGCAAGTGATATTTGGAAGAATGTATCATCTTTCAATAATTATGAATTGGTAATGAATTAATTAATTAGCTTAAAATCACTTAGTCCTAAAGGAATAGGACATGAGTATATGCCTTCTGATATCAACGCCAACATATTAACTATGAATAATTCTGTTATAGAGTAGAAATAGCACTATCAATATAAAGAAAATAAATATTGGTAGGGTAGAAAGGAAATGTCAAAAGTTGGGAAATAGAGGACATGGGGTAAGGTGGTTATGCAGTATTGATAGAGAAGAGGAAGTAAGTAGAGCAAGGAGGATCTAGGAATACTAGAAATGTATTTTCCTTACTGGCCCCCTTCCACGTGCCAAGGCTATACCTAACTCAGCAAGGTAATATGTTAGCCTCACACGAACTGATAGTGCATTGGAGTGATTATCCAGATGAAGCTACTTACTGGGAAAGGTGATGAAAGCCTGCCCTCTCATGCGTCCAGTCATCATTTGGAACTGAATGGGAGGTCCTTTTTTCTCCTGGAAGCGAGCGAATAATGAGATAAGGTCCCTTTCTTTCACCCGAGGACTAAGGTTCTTCAGGTATAGCACCTAATACAAATTGAAAAGTGACAAAAATATCACAGAAAGAAGGCAACTCTTGCATTATGACTTGAATTTCTCTCAGTTTAAAGACTGAACATTTATCTAATGTTATTCTCTCCATGTTACACTCTAAAACTAAAGGCCTGAAACCAACAAGGACAGAAAGAACTCAGAAAAAAAGTAATAGCAACAAAGTTCTGGAAGATATAAAAGAAATGAATGAGTAGGAACAAAGCACACTAAAAAAAAAAAAAAAAGCTCACTAGCAAAGCCTTAGGGCAAAAAAAAAAAAAACAAACAAGAAGACATTCAATTTTCTTTAAAAGTCTTCAAAAGTCATATGTGGGTTAGGGAGGTGGCTCAGTGGATAAAAGTGTGCACACACATGTGGACTTGATTTTAAATTCCTGGTACCCATGTAAAAAGCTAGGTGGAACCCCAAACCAGTCTAGCTAGTTGATAATTTCTAAACTCAAGAGACCCTATTGCAAAAAGTAAGACAGCTAGTACTAGAGGAAGACATGTGACATTGACCTCTGGCCTCTATGTATGTGTATGTACACACACACACATACATACAATCCTCACACATACGACACACACACAAATTTTAAAAGTTGGCACAGTGATAAAAACCTATAATTCTACCAACTAGGAAGGTTGAGTTGGGACAAGAGTCCAGTCTGGGCAACACAGTGACATCCTGTCTAAAAATTAAATAAATATACAAAAAGAAAAAACCAAACACATGCATAAACGTTTCAAGAATTGATAGCTTTGGGTGGCTCGGGAAATAGATGTGATTAGATAGGGTTAAAATGAAGATGGTAAGCTGAAAGCTGTTGTAAAATAGATTAGAACTTTACCCCCTCTGCAATTATAGTACTGGCTGAGGGAAACTCACCAATCCTGGTAGAATATTGAAGGTTAATTGTCTGAAAACGTGGAATGTCTTGTATAGCTGAGGTCAAGAGCAGTGTTTTCTGAAAGCAAGGAGACTGAAAGAATGCATACCAAACACTGGGGAACCCATGATCTGACCACCATTCCTCTACCAGACCACTGGTAGCTCCTTTGCAAGAAAGCACGGGGGACAGTCTCCTTTAGGGGCATTAATGCCGAAGAAAGACAAAATACTGACTTAGAATAGCAGAATTCTTCAAGTGATTCAGCCAGATCATCTGGGTCATTGTTATTACTATTTTGTTATTGTCATTTGGAGACAAGTCTCATTAATACCCCAGTGTGGCCTAAGACTGACAAACCTCCTGCTTCAGCCTCCTAAGTGCTAGGATTATAAAATATCACCGTGAATTCAACGTACACAAAGGCCATGACCTCAGAGCTTCTGAATAATTTTACAGCCAGAAATAAGGACAGGGATTATCGGGCATATTAGAAAGGCTTCTAGTGTGGAGGATAAAAAACACGGGCAACAAAAACAAATGAGAGAAAACAGAGACCATGAAGAAAACAGAATTAAACAACAAAAAAACCAACCTGTCACTAATATCCTCAGGATACTATTCTATCAATTAGTAATAGGATGCTATTGAAATTTCAATAGAACAAAATAATATCTTCTGTTATTTAACTTATATATTATCAGTTTAAAACATTGTTTTATTTACAGTAATCACAAAGAAAATACATAGAGGAAAATGAGATAAAGAAGAAATACCCACTAACAAATGGATAAAGAGAGGGTAGCATATATATAGACTGGAATATTATTTAATCCTTAAAAGGAAAAAACCTATTGTGAATGAGATTTTCTGGAAAGAAACCATACATTATGCTGAACCCCGTCAAACACTAAAACTAGAACTTCAATGCCTGTGGGGAGGTTAGGATGATGCAGACAGAGGGCCTAATTATAATTAATTATCTTGATCTATCTTTAGCCACTCTTAATATCTATTCCTTGCCCACCTGTGTCTGACCCAACATGCTTGTCATTGACAAGTGAAATTTTGTGAAATGTATTAACAGATCACTAGTTCCCACCTACCAAATGCTAAGAATATCATCAGGAAGCATATGAGGCCTATAGCAGAGATTTCTTCACTTTGCTGT